ACTAAAGTTGGTAAAAATATATTTTATTGCAAAAAAACTTGAAGCAGTATATATAATCAAAGTAACTTACATACATATAACATTAGGTTAAATAAAATACAACTAACCGACTTTAGTTAAGCAAAATAATAAAAAATAAGTCGATAGTAGATCAATCCCTCAGTTTTCCACATACTCATTTTACTAAAGTTGGTAGAAATATATTTTCTTACAAAGAACCTTAAGCACTATGTAATATCAATAAAATTCATATGTATATATTATTAAGAAGGCCATGGAATCCATGTCAAACAAGGTAATCGTGACTTTTGACGTTATTTGACCATTTTCTTTAAAATCGTTGTGTTGTACAATTGAAAAATGGAGCGGTTTGAGAAATACGTTTTATGCAAGTTTTGCAAAAAAGTTAGTGAAATTAAAATGTATCATCGGAACCTAAAATTTTTAATGTATTTATTACAAGAATGCGGGCCAGAAATTTATTCGCCAAACTTGTTTGGGATTATTAAAAATCATTTGCTTCTTGTGTGTAAGAAATATGGAGCTCTTCGTGGATCACAGCAGAATAAGATTGTTTCAAAGTACTACATTTATTTTTTGAAACATAGACATTTTATAAATTTTAGTGAATGTGTGCTTGTTTATTCCCCATTAAGAAAAGAAGACGTGGCTGAGGAATTTCAGCAACATTTGGACGCTTTAATTAAAACTACTAAAAGTACATACTTGGTAAATAATTATTTATAAATGATTTGTACTTATTAAATTATGATAGAATAAATTTGAAGTTAAATATAAATGTCATTTTATTTATAAATGTCAAAAAATTTCCAGTGTAATTTCATGCTCCTTACCCCAAGGAAGAGAAAAATTTCCGGAAATTTTCTTAGTTGCTATAGTAACGCTACAAAATACAGGCCTTTAATTGGCTGAAAAATACTATTGTGAAATTTTCTAAATAATTTTCCCTATGAACTATAGGGAAATTTTGCTTCGTTTTAGAGCTACAATTAAAAAACTGAAAAAGGTGCATTTTCACCCCTATCTCCAATTTCCACCCTCTAATTTAATAGAACTCCGCTGTTTTTTCGTCTATAATGACCATTTGAACGATTCATGTAATAAAATATCTTGAACGTCATAGTTTTTTTTTAAGTCCTATAGTCAATAGCCTAGTAAGAAGGCAACTTGCTTGGTGCCTTTGTAATGCAGATATTTTGCTACGGTTAGTGAATCTTTACTAACCGTAACAAAACAGTTCCGTGAGTCCACTTTTAGACAACCATATTGTTTTAGGGTGCCCCGATCTCCCCTACCGGTCTTACGGTCTAAGTTTACCCCGGAATCTTCCTCTCGTAATGCCTGGAATTGAAGGTGTAGCAGAAGCCGTTCTCTGTGAACACGGGAAAGAATCCATCACAGCAATTATAAGCGTCCAATTTCCAGTAGCACTCCTGGAACACTTCGTCGCACGTGTTCATCAACTGAAAAAATAAAATAAAATAAATTATGGATTCTGCACGGCGGCTCCCGTTTAGCGCATCGAGGAGGTTATTAATTTATGGCAGCGATCGCTGGGACAGTCGACGAGACGTAATAAATTACCGTAATTAATGGATTTTTCTATTAGACCGGTTGGGATGGGTTTTTATGAAGAGTAAACCGAGTTCGGGCTGATATATGGGGATGCAGAATGGGCTCAGTGTAACAACTTCCTAAATTGAGAAATTACCCTATAAGACCTAAACATTTCTGATGTATCAAATAATTCTTTATATCATCATACGTGGACGTAGGTCCATAATAGTCTAGGAGCTAGATAGGGTTCCGTGGCCAATCANAAATATTACTAAACCCCCAATGCCATTTAAATATTTTGGGGTGATGCTTACCATATCCTTGCTTGGGGGTGAATGTGGCGGAGTCAAAAATACCAGCAAAGAATGTCCCCCTTTAATCTAAAATTGACGGGTCTGAGCGTTTTTCTACAATCTTGATGCAGTTCCTGAAAATGGCTCTGTTTCGTTTTCATTTGGCCACCCTGTATATCTATCAGTACCGCGCCGATTTACGCCAGCAAATGCAACGACGTAAAATATCTCAACTCATTAAATATAATCGCGGCTCCCGACACCCATCTCTGAACATACATATAATTGGACACGCACAACGTGCCATGCTGCAGGTGACATCCGCTAGGTAAGTATAATAGAGACTCCCTTAACAGCGAAATGGAGTTTTCGTCTGAGATAACGTTATCCACCGAGGAAAATCATTTTAACGTAGTAAATATATTTTGTACCAGTGAAAGGTGCCGTTCCGAAAAATTTATGGGCCATTAGAAGATTTCTATATTCCTCGAAAAAAGAGCATATTTAAGGATATATTATCTCTTCCCTGATCAAAGGCGATGAGGGAGCGTTTTCTAAATAAAATAAATAAGGAAGTAGCAGCGGCGGAAACGAATTTTTGAAAGATTAAACATACAAGTATATAACGAATAAATTGTAACGAATTGGAAATGTACATATAGATAGAGACTCGGATGAAAAATTACCTGACCGTTCTTTGGGTCATATAAAAAATTTAACTATTATTATAGCAACAACAAAATAGTATGAAATTGTTAATAAAAATATTCTGAATATAAAACTAGTAATCAGTAAGGATATCACATAGTATAAATAATAGTAATAATAATAATAATAATAATGTTAATTTTATTTACAAGTACAAAATTAATTTTTCATAAAATGCATGACATCGACACTTGTTAGCACTCAGTACATTGAGAGAACAGAATTCAAACCTAGAGTGACGTATATCAAATAAAAGCTCAATATCTATAGATGAATCTGGTATATATAGCCTGGAAAGATGAGTAAATGCACAGAAGATATTTCAATTCAACTTATGTCATAGTATGAAATTTTTTATCAATTGTGAAATTAAATTATAATTTTCACAAATGTTGGCTTTACAAGTACCTGGAGATGATCTATAAAAAACATAAAATAAGGAATATTTTAGTAATTATAGAAGTGTATGTTAAAATAAAAGGACATTTATAAAAAATGTATTAGTCATAAGGAGTGTTGTGGAAAAGTGTTTTAAAAAAGGACATCCAAGGACTGACAATTCTGTGAAGGGACCTTAAGCAAAGATAGGAACAGAATAATCCAGAAAGATGAAAAAACAAAAATGTATTGATTGGTTACGGCTTGGGTTTTGGAGAACACAGAGTAGAGAGGCAGCTCCAATAAATTTTAAATTAGCTCAAGAAAGAAACAGTCAAGTAAGAAAATTAAACTCACCAGTAATGTTAACAGTTTTTTTTTTCAAAGTCCAGAGAAAGAAAATTGTCATCATAGGAAAATTTTCCGCTACCAGTAGTAGTAAGTAGTTCCATAGCGTTTTCCAGTGGCTCCATAAATGGTATGCAGGACATCTACATAGTTTCCAACAAGGAAAAATTCAAGTTTGCAAATACCATGTACCTAAAATAAAAAATAAAGTGCACTATAAACAAAACTGATAGCTATAACCTATAGATAATACTTTTCTATCGCCTCAAATCTTGGAAAAAAGATTAATAATAAACTACAGGACTTACCTGAACAAAAATAAATACAAGCCAATCAATGATGTTTAAAAACTTCATAAAGTTGACGAGCTCGAACAAAATTATCAAATGGACAGCCATATTTAATTCAAGTTGAATTTCAGTCAGTAAATAATAAGAAAATATGCCCCTGTACGATAGGCAAAATGCAATACAAGGACAAGTATTTAAAATTGAATAGATAAAATTAATTACTAGTAAAGTAATTTTTTTTATGAAAAACACAATCCTTATATTGTATGTAACTGTATTAGAATAGAAAAGACAATAAAATTAATAAAATATTCTTTATTATTGTTATAAAAATAAAAAAATTAGTACCTAGAGGGAAACTATTCTCAATTTTAAGTTAACAAGTTTGCAAGTTTTAAGTAATCCCACAAAAATTTGAAAGATTGTATTAAACGTAAAACTCAATTTTTTTCTAACGTGTTGCATTGTACTTGTTTGTGTATAAAAGACATAGAACCGACTCCTGGGATTTCTAATATAAAACAAGCATCTAACATCAGCTGGCAAAGGATAAAATAGAGTAGGTACAAGGCGAAATACAGATAGGTTTGTGTTTAACAATCTGCAGTTAACCAAAATAAAACTACACACACACACACAAATTTTAGGCAAAATTATATTCTACACCAATATATTTAATCTAAGGTCGAGTCGAAAGTAACAGTTTTACGTAAAACAGTACATTAAGTATTAAGGTCAGTAAGTGTTCTTTACTGGTTGAGTATATTAGTAGAAAATGTAGCATCAGCAGGAACCGCAAAACAAGCTGTAGTAGTTTAAATTTAACCAGAATCCCATCATGTTCCGAACGCTTCCGAAGGGAACGGAAGTTAGCTATAGCTGTGCTGCTGAAAAGTTGTGTTCACACCTGGTATGATATGACGGGATGGTAAATGGGTTTGTTACATTTTTATTTTAGTTTTCGACATTATCGGTTTACGAGAGGATGTTCGTTAAGCGCCTTTTGTGGTGTAAATACTTATAAAGTGATTTATTTCAGTCTTTAACAACAGTAGAGAGTATTTTTGTATTTTAATTTCAAATTCTTGTATGACATTACAAATCAAAAAAATGCTCGGCTATCTGACGATATCATTGCGCATTAACAAACGCACCTTCAAAGATTCACGTCTCTCTTTCACATGGAGCTAAGCGCCTTCAAAGCGTTTTGACGTACCTGCTCTCATTTCGCAGAGCCAGAGACCTAATTCTTTCTCATAAACGATAATCTGCAGTCAAATTTGTCAGGATTACGTACGTATATAGCTACTTACGGGATAGAGGTTGTCAAGGGAACGGAAATGGAACTGCATTGACCATTCCTTGTCTGTCTCCTTAATATATTTCATATTAAACCCCGGCAATTTTTCTGCTCGCCTGAAACAAGAACGACTTTATGATGACAAATGAAGGGGCGCGATTAGAGTAGAACTCGAAACATCGAGACGAGTGCAGTTTAAGATATGATCTATGCATCAGATGGGGGAGATCGGGGTCTCCGCTTTGTATCTACAGTGTTTACATAAAGAGGTCACGTTAGACATTCAGTATAGCAATAAATGTGAGTCAACTAAATAATAATACAAATTATTTTTTCTTCTTTGTCATTTATTTCGTAATAATTCCATATACAATAAAATACTGTTCTATCGACGAGTGTAAAGCTTCTATGAGTGTTAATATATTTTGTCGTGAATATATTTTTTTCTATAGCACATTTTAAAAGATAAACAGCGAACGAACTAATTGCTAATCGGGAGCATTTCTCTCGGTTTCGAAAGTTCAAGACCTATGTATGTTTTCAGCCACAAAAATTGAATAATTCCAAATATTTCGAAGTTTTACTACCACGAACGGCGGTGACAACGTTTTTAACATTAAGGTGATGTTTCGCATCGTATTAGCTATGTCCTGTACACATTTAGTTTCGTGCAACTCTCCCGGTTTCTAAAATATAATACCTATGTATGTTTTCAGCCACGATATTTGAATAATTCCAAAAATTTAGAATTTTCACTACCAAGAACGGCGGTGACAACTTTTTTAACATTAAGGCGCTGTTTCGCATTGTATTAGCAATATTCAGTCCAAATTTATTTAGTGCATCTCTCTCGGTTTCAAAAATTCAATGCCTATGTATATTTTCAGCCACGAAAATTGAATCCAAATATTTCGAATTTTCACGTGAATTAGAACACATCAAAATAAGTCTATAAATCCATAAAAATTATAGAAATTCGCTGTCAAATTTGTTAGAATAGATCAAAACACTAAATAGATCAAAAACGACAATACGAAAATACATCATACATCAAAATTATGATAAAAATACATTGAAAGCTTTTTCTAAGTTCAAAACACATTAAAAAATACATTCGTGCATATATTTCTAAAACTTGAAAATAGATGGAAATAGTTCACAAACTTCGTAAATATGTTACCAATAAAGTACTCCAAAGTTCTTCGAGAAACCTCTAATTACGTCTAAATACCTCGAAATCCTTCGAAAATCTTAAAATATGGCAAAAAATTTTAAATACTTGGAAATATAAATAAAATAAAAGGGTCCTTTGTATATTATAAGAAATGAAACAAGTTACTTTGTAATGAATCGTTCAAAGGGCCATTTTAAAGGGTGGAAATTTGAGATAGGGGTGAAAATGCACCACTTTTTTTATTGTAGCTCAAAAACAAAGCAAAATTTCGCAATAGTTTATAGGAAAAATTATTTAGAGAATTAATTTCCCATCGAAATGGCTTATTTAAAAAATTTAAAAGGGAAATTTTATGCAAAACATCGTTAATAAAAAATTTGACAAAAAAGCAAAATCCAATTTTTGGTTTTTTTGCCTCTAGTTTTTTTTGAGTAAAGATAGGTGTAGGCATTGCTTCACAAAGAAAAAAGTACATAAAGTTTCCTTCAAAATAAGAGGTCGTAAAGTATTTTTGGATGAAAATTGACTGATATATGGCCGCTCAAACTTACAATTAGCAAAAAATAAGATTTTTTATTTTTTTTACTTTTTGACTAATTTTTTTTAGTACAAATAGGAAGAAAATTGCTGTACAAAAAACTAAATGAGATTCCCTTCAAAATGATGCGTTTTCAAAAATTTTTGGACTAATATTGACTGACATAACCGGTCAAACTTAAATACTTTATAGATTTTTGTCGTTTTCAACATAATAATGAATATAATTCTTATTATTTTTACAACAAATTGGTTCTTTACTTAATAAAAAATTATTTCAAAAATTTTATTTGTTAATAATAAATAAAGATTTTCACAACTTTCAAAAAAGTAAAAAAATCAAAAAATCTTATTTTTTGCTTTTTTAAAATTGTTTATTAACTATTTTTTGCATACAATTTTTAAATAGGCCATTTCGATGGGAAATTAAATTCTCTACAAAATATTTCCTATGAACTATACCGAAATTTTGCTTCGTTTTCGTTGTATATATATCTTCAAATCTTGCTAATTGTAAGTTTGAGCGGCCATATATCAGTCAATTTTCATCCAAAACCTCTTATTTTGGAGGAAACTTTATGTACTTTTTTCTTTATGAAGCAATGCCTATACCTATCTTTACTCAAAAAAACTAGAGGCAAAAAAGTAAAAATAAATTAAAAAATAGAATTTTTTTCTTTTTTGTTAAATTGTTTATTAACGACGTTTTGCATAAAATTTTCCTTTTAAATTTTTTAAATAAGCCATTTCGATGGGAAATGAATTTTCACTTATAATACCACTAGAGCTTCAATAGGGCTGTTGACCAAATTTCAAAAAGTAGATAATATACTTCTACACATACTAACTAGTGTGTATACACAATTGAGAAATGCGTCAGAACAGTTTTAAAATAATTATTTAAAACTGATTTTTTTATAACATTTCAAAACGGCTGAGACGTCATAATGGTCACCTTGTAGTGAAATTATGTGTAAATGATTGCATAAAGGAAAAAAACTTGGAAGAAGAAGACTTTCTGTCAACGCTGTCAGTAGAGTCAGTGACAGTGACACTTCCACAAAATATTTTCAAGTTCAATTAAATCAGAATGTGTGAAACGGGATTTGTGAAAGCTACTTCGCAAATTTTACCGAAAATTGATATTTTTATAATCATGAATTGAATTTTTAAAATGAGACTAGCGTTTTAATATTGGCGAAATCAGAGGTATAAAAGCAGTCAGGTGAGGATCAACATATTTGAATGATTTTATTGTGTTTATTTATATAAAATACCTATTTATTTACGGAAATTTATAGTGCAGTTCGGGAGTCTTATGGAGATAATGCAATTGGCTATGTGGAATGTGGAACAAAACACCAC